CTCTTGTTAATATTTACTTAAGTTGAGGGTACGATGGTCATATTGCTACTTTAGGTTTTTTATATATATTTGAGTGATGTACAGTTGAGGGAATTAATTGGTTTTTAATATATACAAAGTTCTCTCTTCTTCTTCTTCTTCCTCCTAACTTTCAACCCTAATTTCTCCATTTTACATTCTCACTTGGTATCAGAGCTATCTCTTCTTCATTAGAAAGGGTTCTACAGATTCTAAAGATCGATCTGAGGTGACCGAGCCGTGCTGATGTCATCAGCCGTACGATGACATCAGCATGATGTCAGCAGTGTACGGACGGGTCCTACACCCCTAGAATCGAAATTGTCTCCTGAGATTTATGGTGATTTTTGTGGAATTTTTTGATCATCCCTGATGTGAGTTTTCGATTTTTGAAACTATTTCGTATTTTTGGGACTGTTTTTTTGAATCTACCTTTGGGACTATTTTTTTCTGGTTTTTCTTGCTGGGCTCACTTCCCTAGGAGCCGAAAATCACCCCTCTAAGGGTCCTTGATCTTAATTTGTTGTTTTACTCCTGTGGGGTTGATATTCTGTTCAATTTGTGGCTGTTTCTGGAGCCGAAAATCACTTGTGGCTGTTTCTGGAGACGAAAATCACCCCTCTAAGGGCTGACACCCTTCTAGCAAGGGATATTTGTCCTCTCTTTATTGATTGCTACTGTTGAGTTGATGTGTTGGTCTCATTTGGGTCCAAACTTGGTTGTTGAGCTAGTTCTGTGTTTATAGGTGTGATTGTGGGTATTGACTGTTTGCAAGTCTGGTTGATCATTATGGTTGAGATTGAGGCTAAGGCTATAACTATGGGTAAAGATGATGATATGCCTAAATCTATCACTACAAAGAAATTGAATGGTGCTAATTATTTGGCTTGGGCCCATGCTGTCAAGATTTTCTTACGAGGTAAGAAGAAGTCCCGCTATATGTCATAACGGCCTTAGGCCCATTTTTGAAACGTAATGGCTTGAAACATAATATCTTGAAACATGATGGCACGAGGCCCTTGAGTAAGTTGGCATTAAGCCCTTGAAACATTTGGCATTAAGCCCTTGAATTATTTGGCATTAAGCCCTTGAACATGCTTGTATGAACTCAAGAGGTGTCTCACACGGATTCTAGAGGTGACTCACTTCGTAGCACTTAGTTCCGTGTAGCACTTTGTTTCGTATAATAACAACTTATACGGAACGGCCATAGGCCCCGAGTCTTACAAACACTTCGAGTCGTGTGAAAGTATTTCATTCTTTTCTTTATTTCTTTTCATGCTTGGCTTCATTCACATAATTACATACATAATAATCATGCGTTAATAGAATGCTAATGACAATCATTAGCATGCTAATGACAATCATTAGCTATATGTGAAGCGTACTACTGCTCACAGTGTTGTGATGACGTGCTTGTTCCTCCCGGAGTGTGCCCTTAGCTTCAATCTCTCTCACTTCTTCCTTCTTCCTATCCTCTCTTCACTTTTCTCCCAGGAAATATTTTATGAGAAGGTTCCTAAGTCTTGAGCTCAATAAGAAGCTTATAGACATATATATATATAGATTGAATAAGGACAAAATCAATCGTTTAAACATCCGAAATTAAAATTTTTCAAAAATGCTTAATATTACCCAAAAATTATGCTGATCACATATATAAAATCAATTTCAGATAATTAAGCCCCTAAGGCTTCTAATTTCTGATTTAAACATTCTAATGTAACAGATACTTTTTCTTGTTTAAACAGATAGACACCCTTAGACATGGAGTTCGCTTAACCTTAATTTCGTATAGGATTTCACAATAAGCATTCAAAAACACAAAATAGGGTCTGAAGATATATCAGAAAACATGTACGAGGGTCTGGTTATTACACTCTCCCCCCCTTAAATAAGTTTGGTCCCTCAAACTTGTTTTACCTTAGTGTAGAAACAGATGCGGATACTGGTGTTGCATTTCCTCCTCTCTTTCCCAAGTTGCGTCGGTTCCGTAATGTTCTTGCCATTCAACCTTTACCATAGGAATTTCGCAATTTCGCAACTGCTTCACTTGCCGGTCGAGAATTTGGATTGGTTTCTCTTCATAAGTTTAACTTGTCATCCAACTCAATTTGGTGGTAATCAATAACATGAGACGGATCCGCAAGATACCCTCGAAGCATAGAGACATGAAACACGTTATGTACTTGACTCATATGTGGCGGAAGGGCAACCCGGTAAGCTACCGGACCCGCTCTTTCCAGAATTTGGAAGGGACCAACGTAACGGGGTGTCAACTTACCCCTTTTTCCGAACCTTGGGTGGCCTTTCATTGGAGTGACCTTTACAAGGACATGGTCATCCACTTGAAATTCTAAGTCCCTTCGTCGGTTGTCCGCATAACTCTTCTGTCTACTTTGTGCCGTTTTTAACCTTTCCCGAATAGTTTTAACTTTTTCAGTGGTCCACTGAATAATTTCGGGCCCTAACAAGGATTTATCTCCAACTTCAGCCCAACACACGGGAAAACGACACGGTCTTCCATACAGAGCTTCATAGGGTGCCATTTCAATACTTGAGTGGTAACTATTATTGTATGCGAACTCTACCAACGGTAGATGGGTTTCCCAACTTTCTTGAAAATCTAAAATACACATGCAAAGCATATCTTCTAACATTTGTATCGTTCTCTCGGATTGACCGTCAGTCTGAGGATGGAAAGCTGTGCTGAACTTTAATTCTGTACCCATGGCTTCTTGTAAACTTTGCCAGAATCTGGAAATAAACTTCGGATCTCTATCTGACACAATTGAGACCGGAACACCATGAAGCCTTACAATTTCATTAACATAAATTACCGCCAGTTTATCTGCATTATACTGAGTCTTTACTGGTAGGAAGTGAGTGGACTTAGTTAATCGGTCTACAATGACCCATATTGAATTCATACCTCGAGGAGTCCGTGGTAACCCTACAACGAAATCCATGGTCAAATGTTCCCACTTCCATTCTGGGATTGGAAGGGGCTGTAGCAACCTTGCTGGTCTCTGATGTTCTGCTTTTACTTGCTGGCATTGCAAACATTTAGAGATGAACTCCGCGATCTCTTTCTTCATATTTGGCCACCAAAAATTTTGTTTCAAATCTTGGTACATTTTGGTACTCCCTGGATGCATTGAAAATCTTGAGGTATGTGCTTCTTCCATCAACTTTTGTTTAAGGTTCAACACATTGGGGACACATACTCGGTTTTGAAATTTGAGCACCATATCTACCAAACTAAATCCCGGTTTCGAATTGGTCCCTAACTCACCACCTATCTTCTTTAAAGTTTCATCTTCCATCTGATGCAATTTAATTTCCTCAAGTAAGGTTGGTTGGGCCATCACTGCTGCCATTGAAGCTTCCTGTCCATGTAATATAAGGTCCACTTCCATTTTAGCCAATTCATCTGCTAATTCCTTTTGCCCTGTAACCAAATTGGTTAAAGTCCCCATACTTTTTCGACTAAGCGCATTGGCTTTGCCAGGATGGTAATGGATCTGCAAATCATAATCTTTAATAAGTTCCAACCACCGTCGCTGCCGCATATTCAACTCTTTTTGAGTAAAAAGGTATTTGAGACTTTTATGGTCAGTGTACACTTCGCAAGTAGTGCCATATAGATAGTGTCTCCATATCTTCAAAGCAAAAACTACTGCTGCTAACTCAAGATCATGCGTGGGATAATTCTTCTCATGGGGTTTCAATTGACGAGAAGCATAGGCGATAACTTTGCCATTTTGCATAAGTACACAACCAAATCCTTTATGGGAAGCATCACTGTAGATTACAAACCCTTCAGTACCGGATGGTTAGGCTAGCACTGGTGCTGTAGTCAACCTTATCTTCAATTCTTGGAAAGCAGATTCTCGCTCTTCTGACCATTCAAATGCAACTCCCTTCCGAGTCAGTTGTGTAAGCGGCACAGCAATTTTGGAAAAATCTTGAACAAACCGTCTGTAATAGCCGGCTAACCCCATAAAACTACGCACTTCAGTCACATTAGTAGGAGTTGGCCAATTCGCGATCGCCTCAATCTTGTGTGGATCAACAGAAACCCCTTCCTTTGTGATAACATGCCCCAGAAATGCCACCTTTAGCAGCCAGAATTCACATTTCTTTAGCTTTGCATACAGTTTATTTTCCCGAAGGGTTTGAAGGATCAAGCGAAGATGATTCTCATGAGCTTCTGCATTCTCTGAATAGATTAAAATATCATCAATAAAGACTACCACAAATTCATCCAAATAGGGCTTGAAGACGCGGTTCATCAAATCCATAAAGGCTGCTAGGGCGTTAGTCACTCCAAAGGGCATAACCAAAAATTCATAATGGCCATATCGGGTTCGAAAAGCCGTCTTCTCGACATCATCAGCTTTGACCTTTAATTGATGGTATCCGGACCGTAGATCGATTTTGGAAAAGACTTGTGCCCCTTGAAGTTGGTCAAATAAATCATCGATCCTTGGCAACGGGTACTTATTCTTGATTGTTACTTTATTAAGTTCCCTGTAATCGATACAAAGCCGGAGTGTTCCATCCTTCTTCTTCACAAATAAAACTGGTGCACCCCACCGAGACACACTTGGACGGATGAATCCTTTGTCCAGTAAATCTTGCAACTGAATTTTTAATTCCTTCATCTCGACTGGTGACATCCTATAGGGAGTCTTAGAAATGGGTTGAGTTCCCGATGCTACATCAATTATAAATTCAATTTCACGGTCTATTAATTGCCCTAGTAACTCCTCCGGAAAAACATCCGGAAATTCACAAACAACTGGAATCATGTTAACGTCCCCATTCATCACTTGCCCCTCCAAAACACTGCATAAATACCCCTGACACCCTTTCTGAATTAATTTACAGGCCCTAGCTGCCGAAATCAAATAAGGTGGAGAAGTCACTTCCTGTCCCTGGAAAACAAACTCTGACTGTCCCGGAGGGTGGAAATTAATTTACTTAGTCAAACAGTCTATAGTCGCCCCATATTCACTCAACCAATCCATTCCCAGAATAACGTCAAAATAGGTCATGTCGAGAGGTAACAGATTAGCATGCACCCGACTATCCCCAAGTTGGAGGTCACAAGCTAAATATACAGAAGTACAGATCATAGGGTCTCCCAAAGGTGATGACACACATAATATATAAGACAAGTTTTCTTCAGTTTTATCTAAATTAGGAGCAAATAGTTTCGACACAAAAGAGTGGGTGGAACCAAAATCAAACAATACATGGGCAGAATGACCGTGAACAATAAATGTACTTGACGCCACTGTTGCCGCAGTTTGCACATCTCCTGGAACCAATGAGAACACCCTGCCTTGTCTCGCGGTATCTTTATTGTTAGTTGGTTTGGCCGGTGCCTTGGGGTTGGTAGTTGGTGCAGACCCCACTGAACTGGTAGTAGTCATATTGTCACTTTGTTGCTGCTTCCCCTGAGGGCAATCCTTTATCACATGACCCGTTTTCCCACACTGAAAGTAGGCTCCAGACTTCCGGTAGCATATTCCACGATGCTTCTTTCCACACTCCACACATACGGGAATTGAATCCTGACTAGGGGTAGAAGCATGTGAAGTCCCTGAATTTTGCTTCTTGTTTGGTGGAGTAGTTGACCCCTTCGACCGTTGGCTGTTTTGTCTTTTCCCCTTCCATTCAGAAATTCGATTTTGTGCAGCAATATTTCCTTCCGCTATGATGGCCCTCTCCAACACATCTACATAGGTAGGCAACTTCAACATATTGACTCGGTCCAGAATAGCACCCCGTAATCCCCCTTCAAATTTCCGTGCCTTCTTATAATCCGTATCTACCATATGAGGTGCAAACCGGGCTAACTCTGCAAATTGAGCTTCATATTCAGCAACAGTCTTGTTCCCTTGTCTGAGAGTTTCAAATTCAGTCACCTTCTTATCTCGCATACTTTGAGGGAAATATTTATCATAAAACAACTCCAAGAACCTGTCCCATGTCAATCCTTGATGTATAGTTCTCGTAAGCATCCACCATCTCCGTGCCTCGTCCTCAAGGCTAAAGGCAGCCAGTTGCACCTTTTGAGCTTCAGTGCAAGGGAAAACTTCAATAATTTCTCTATTCCCAACGCCCATGCCTCTGCTTTCATGGGCTCTATTCCTCCTTTAAAGGATGGCGGTTTCGTCTTTTTAAACTCCTTAGTAAGGGTAATGGTCCGGTCTTCAGCATGGAAGTCTTGTACTGCCGGTGGAGGCCCCGGTGGCGGTGGCGGTTGTTGTTGAGGCTGTTGCTGTTGTTGCCGTAGGGTTTCCGCTATTTCCATAATCATTCTCTCCATCCTATCCAACCGTGCAGAAGTAGCATCTTCCGCATCTTCTGTCCTTGTCCTCACCATAGCCTATATAACAATCAATTATATACAATAGACATAATTTCAAATTGTTAGCATTATCAGAGTTCATATAACGTTGCCATCGATCTCTTCTATACTTTCGGGGTGTCATGCATGATACCTAAATCTTTTCTAGACACCCTAAAGCTCAATGGATCCGTGTGTGAGATAGCAACTCGTGCTCTGATACCATTTGTCACGCCCTAAACTTGCCCCTAAAAGTTTGGGCATGACCTATTCAGAAACGTACATTTAACCTGATGTACATGACATACAGGGCCTTACCGGAAGCACGTAATATGAAAATAATGAAACATATGAACTCCATTGAGCTACTTCTACATGCCAGGATCTCATACATCACATGTACCATAGTAGATAGATAAAGTCCCAACTATATCACAGAGCATCGGTTATATACATACACATATGCAGTCCCAGCCCCATAATTGGGCATGTACAAAAACAAAACTATTGAAGTTATATACATTCGACCTTAGGTGGCAATCAAACAGTAAGCCAACATCTTAACAGACTTCACAAAATAAATGGCCTTGCACAGTGCCTGAACATACGAAGGTTGACAAAAGAAAAACAGGCGTCATGGCTAGGACTGACCACCGGGTTGGTTACCTACAGAAACAGACATAACAGAGAACTTCGCCAATGGATGGGAGAGGAGGTCTGCCAATAATTCTTCCTCGCACTTCATCGAACTCAATGTTGAGGCCGGCAAGAAACTTGTAAATACGGTTGTCTTCCACAGTTTTCTTGTGGTGGTTGCAGTCGTCAACCGATTTCCATTCGTATGTGTTGAAGATGTCAAGATCCTGCCACAACCTTTTCAACGAATTGAAATATTTGGTGACGGAATCATCTCCTTGACGAATTTCTCCCAACTTCAAAGTTAATTCGAAAACTTGAGATTGATTTCCTAGGTCAGAATACATCTGACTAACATTATCCCACAATTCTTGTGCAGTAGTATAGCACATGTAATTAGAGCTTATATCCTCCTCCATGGAATTGACCAACCATGTCATAACTATGGAATTTTCAGCGTCCCAACTGTTGAACAGCGGATCATTAACAGCAGGAGCCTTCTTGTCACCAGTGATGTAACCGATCTTTCCTTGCCCACGGATATACATCCGGACAGATTGTGACCAGCGGAGAAAATTATCACCATTTAGGCGGATGGTGGTGATTTGGACAGAGTGAGAGTTTGACGTTTTCACCAGAATGGCAGCAGCAGGGGTTGAAGTGGTTTCGGACGTGACTTCCGACATGGCTATGACGGTTTTAGGGCTGCTGTAGTTTTTGTAGCTCTGATACCAACTTAGAAAATATGAGGACGAAGAACTCCGAAAATATGAGGAAGAAAGAATATATTTCTGTTATATTCAAAACTTCTTATTTTACAAGATCAAATGACACTCCTTATATAGGAGATATTACAAACATCATTATAACCCATTATATGCCACTTACATATTATATATTACCACTATCTACCACTATCATATTCTATACATGCCACTATCTACCACCAACACCACTATCATATGCCACTATCTTATTATATGCATTAACACAAATTTCCAGCAGTCAATCTGGCCGGTCTCTTCCTGATTATTATAGTAGTCTCAAGACTTTGTGGGATCAGTTACTGCAGCATCGACCTTTCACAACTGATGTGACCACCCAGAAACAACATTGGGAGGAGTTTATGATGGCTTCTTTTCTTTCTGGCTTAGATCCTGAGTTGCGAGGGTTCAAAGATCAGATTCTTGCCAGTGACACTCTACCTTCGGCTGCCAATGCCTATTCTAGGCTGTTACGCTCTTCATTGGGACAAGCACAATCCACTGTTGGGTCTTCTTTATCATCTTCTGCATTGGTTTCTAGTAGATCATGGGTCTACTCGCGGGGGTTTTCATAGTTCTTTTGGTTCCCGGAGCTCTTCTTCTGGTTTCCGGGGCTCTCGTGGAGGTGGTTCTCGTAGTGGTGGCTCACGTGGTGGTTTCCGTGGTGGCAGTAGTAGTGGACCTGGTTCTCGTACACGTGGTGATCGCAAGTGTACTCATTGTGGTTCCCAAGGTCATACTGAACCTTGGTGTTGGCAAAAGCATGGCAGACCTGATCATGTCCATCAGGTTATGGATGTCCCCTCCTCACAGTCTTCCTTGTTGTCCACTGGCTCGGATGCTTCTCCTGTTACTTCGCATGAGACACTCACTACTCAAATTAGTGAGCTTACTGCCCTTGTCCAGTCTCTCCGGCCTAGTCTACCTTCTTCCTCTACTGCTACCATGGCTAGTTCAGGTAATATTGCATGTGTGGCTAAGTCCTCTCAGCCTTGGCTCCTAGACTCTGGTGCTAGTTCTCATGTCTCTGGTAATTCCTCTCTTTTTGATACTCTTAGACCTGTTGATCATACCATTATACTTGCTGATGGATCTTCTCGGCCTGTCTGTGGTCAAGGTCCTCTTCATCCCACTCCATCCATGTCCTTACCTTCTGGTCTTTATGTTCCTAAATTTCCATTTAATTTGCTTTCTGTTAGCCAATTGACTCAAGCTCTCCATTGTTCAATAACCTTTTCTCCTACTTCATGTGTTTTGCAGGACCTCCAGACCAAGAGGATGATTGGTTCGGGGCATGAGAAGGATGGCTTATACTTTTTGGACGCTGAGACGTCTCCTCCTTCATCTGCTGTGTTGAGTGCTAGTGTATCTCCTCTTCAGTGGCATTTTCGCTTGGGTCATCCCTCCTTGGCCAAGCTCAAGTTAGCTGTTCCGGGTTTGAGTCATGTTTCTCAGATTGAGTGTGAAGCCTGTCAATTTGGGAAGCATCATCGTAGTTCTTTTCCTCGTCGTAGTGTTAGTCGTGTGTCTGAGTCTTTTGCTCTTGTCCATACAGATATTTGGGGTCCTTCTAGAACTCCTACTGTTAATGGGTTCTTTTATTTTGTTATTTTTGTGGATGCTTACTCTCGGATGACTTGATTGTTTTTAATGAAACAAAGATCTGATTTGCCTTCCATCATCTCTAAGTTTTATAATGAAATCTTTACTCAATTTGGCAAATGTATTAAGATATTTCAGTCTGATAATGCCTTAGAATATGTGCAATCTATTGTAACTACCTTTTGTGATGCTCATGGTATTATTCATCAAACTAGTTGTCCTCATACATCCCCACAAAATGGTGTTGCAGAACGGAAACACCGCCATTTGCTAGATGTTGCTCGCACCCTGATGTTTAATATGCATGTCCCCAAACAGTTTTGGGGCGATGCTGTTCTCACTGCTTGTTTGCTTATTAATCGCATGCCCTCTAGTGTTGTACACACATCTCCCTATTCTCTGTTATATCCCACCACATCTCCTTTTCCCTTGCCTCCTCGCATTTTCGGGTGTGTGGCCTTTGTCCATGTTCTTGACCCTGGGTTGGATAAGTTATCTCCTCGTGCACGCAAGTGTGTGTTCTTAGGTTATTCTCGCACTCAAAAAGGGTACTGGTGTTATCATCTTGAGTCTCGTCGCTACTTTGTTAGTGCTGATGTAACGTTTTTTGAGTCTACTCCGTTTTTTTCTTCCTCTGGGCAACAGTTATCTCCTGATCTTCTCTCTTCTCGTGAGGGGGAGCCAGCCTCTCTCGCTCCTACTCTTCCCTCTTATGCTCCTTCCACATCCACTCCTCTATCCTCTCTCTCTCCTCTCATTTCTACCCTCCTTTGCAGGTTTATCAACGGTCTCAAGCTCGTCGCATTGTGTCTTATGGCCCGGCCAGTTCATCTCCTTCGTCTGAGGCCCCTATTCCACCTGCTGCTCTACCATCTGATGACCTTCCTATTGCCCTCCGCAAAGGTAAACGCACTTGCACTCAACATCCTATTGCTCATTTTGTTTCTTATGATCGCCTCTCTCCTGGTCTTCACTCTTTTGCTTGTAGCTTGTCGAGTATTTCCATTCCTCGCACCTATCTTGAGGCTATGTCCATCTCTAGTTGGAAGTTTGCCATGGATGAGGAAATGCATGCTCTTCATCAAAATCAGACCTGGGACCTTACCCTCTGCCCTCTGGCAAATCTATTGTGGGTTGTCGTTGGATTTATACTGTTAAGTATCTTCCTGATGGAACTGTTGAGCGCCTTAAGGCTCGCCTGGTAGCTAAAGGCTACACCCAAACCTATGGTGTTGATTACTTGGAGACTTTTTCTCCTGTGGCCCGTCTTAACTCTGTTCAGATTCTTCTCTCTGTTGCCGTTAATCAGTCTTGGCCTTTATATCAAGAATGCTTTTCTCCATGGTGATCTCCACGAGAAGGTCTATATGGATCAGCCCCCTGGCTATGTTGTTCCCGGCCAAGAGCA